CCCATCTCTTCAGATTGGAGAAACTTTTATCTTTCTGCCTTATTTGATTCTTGTTATTCATTCTGCCATACATTGAAACTTTTCCAATGTTTCAGAATTACACTTAAACTCGTAAGCATAACCATATTTACTAAACTTTAGTAAATCATAACGAATAATCTTATCTACCTTTGTAGTGGACCTGACTAGTGCACAACTTAATGTACCCGATCCTTTATTCCTTCGCTTGACTCACATGCGAATGTGAACAAGGAATTAGTCTTAATTTACCAAAGATGAAAATTCTCATTCATCACACAATACAACTTGCATGATTCCAAGTTTCTATCCAACTGAAACTTGGGTGATGAGAATCTTTCCTTATTTGGTAAATTATGACACTACCACTAATAAAAGAATCAAATCTATTCACCCATATTGCTTATCAATGGAAACATATAAGCAACAACCTTTTTCACAAATGCCATTGTAAGGATACTTAAAATAAATAAAATCAAAACCATTTTCTTTTATTTTAAAACTTTGTGGAAAACTTATCCTTACAATCCATATGGAAAACTTGTTGTTATCTATTCCTAAGCAATATATCATAACTCTTAAGTAACAAATCAAAATTCTGATCACTGAACCATGCGATCGAAATCCATCTTCATGATCAAAATCAACATATACTTCCTTTAAGTTTCTTCACTCTTCTTTGATTCTTAAAACATCAATATGTGACCCAATCACATCATGCAATTAGATTCTCAAAATAGAAACTTAATAAAGTTAGATAATGGACTTTACCTAAAGCAGAGTCAAACATTTGACTTTACTATCCTTATGGACTTATAGGTAAATTTGGTAGCTTCGCAACCAATGCCCTTCCTTTGGCAACAGAAACATATGGACTTTTTGGAAACGGTACACAGAGTTAGCCTTTCGCTTTACCATTTGGTCAACCGAGTTGACTATGGCTAATCCTTTTCAATTGGGAAGAGAAAGTTTTTCTGGACTTCCAATGTTACCATTGTCAATGTCCATGGAAGTTTGGGAAGTTGATCTTCCAATTAAATTTTTCTTTACCAATGCTCCAAATCATTGCTGATTCAGCATCATCAAGCAATAGGTAAGATCATTAAGGATCATGTCGTGATCTATCATCAAAGAGTGACTAAAGAACCAAGTCAACAACCAGTTACCTCGAGACTTCGACACCCGACTCTCCCGGCTTGTCAATATGGGACTTAATCTCCAAGACCTAAGCACATATAGACTTTGTTTTCCAATAGGGATTGAGTGACTTAGAAATTATCAGGTCTTGAAACTTGTGGGATAGGGAGATTTATTGGAGGAGGTGAAGTATGATTTCCAATCCCACTAATACAGAACAAAAGGATTGATCTTTCACCTTGGTTGCCATTTAGGATATAATCTTCATTAGGAAGCTTGTTCCTAAAGATTTGGGAAGACCATAGCTGTCAAAACTAGACATCTATAATGGGAGAAATTCAAGTTAGTTGATTTAAAGTCCTTAATATAACAACCAATATGAAATATTAAGGCTAGGATCCAACAACCTATTTATAACTGGAAGAGGGATGTTGTAATCCAAGTTATAAAATAGTTGAAGGTAGGTAAATGACGATTTACCAATTTCCACCATGAAAAACAAAATATAATTAAGTTTTAGTTGGATTTGAAACTCCTAGATCTTTTGAGATACATTGAACTTTCAATGGCATGTTTGAATCTCGATTGTGCCCTCTCAAGTTTGTGACTGGGATGCCGAGGATCACAAACAAGGTGTGAATAACCATACAAATTGACTTGGTACCATGAACAATATTACCTAATTGATGTGCCGGTTAACCACACACGTTCCACCGATCCATAATAAAGTCAAGTTACCATTTGCCACTCTTACTAGTCTATGTTAGTGTGCCAGTTAACCACACATGCTCCACTAATGATGTGGTAAGGTACAAAGTGTAATTTTATGGGGTAGCACCAATTTCACATTTTCCTAAAGTAACTAAGATTGGGAATTTATAATTTATAGTTACTTTATAATTCATTATACTTTTAATGAGTATTTAAAGTCGTATCCTACCCGTTCGGCTAACGATCCTCCACCGATCAAGGAAGCGGTGGGTGAGAGTGGACACCCATTAAGTCATCATTTTATAGGGAACAACCTTATACCCCCTTATAGATCGGCTTCGTGAATGAGGCCTACTAACGGTAAGAATGACATATTCTTATACATATCTATATAATAAAATTATAATAATAGTATAAGTATTGATTTTTAAACTTTTTAAAAATCTAAGGTTTAATTTGGAATTAAAGTATTAAAGTGTAAGACTTTTCAAATTCCAAAACTTGAGGGCAAGATTTGAAACTATTCCAAGTCTCTTCAATTTGTAACTTATGAGTTTTAATGGTTCATAAAAATGAAGACTCTTCATTTTATGAAACCTTTTTAGTTCTTTAATCACAATTTAAAGAAGTGACTTTTGGTTATCCATAACTTGAGGAGAAGTTATGTACACCATCATTGTTATTAAGATCATGAATTAAACACACATGGAGGTTACACATAATTCCTATGATCTTCTAAAACTCGTAAAAACACAAATTCATGTCAAGCAATTTCAAGAAATCATAGAAACATATACAATACTTGAAAATTGATAAAAGTCATGTAAAACGGGTTAACATAATCATTATCATTTTGAAAAATAGATTTTACAAGTCCAAAACAGATTGGGATAATGATTTTAATCCATTTCCAGCAACAAATATTCATATCAACAATTTCAAGAATCATAAATAAACCATATAAAACTTGAAAATTTGATAATAACCATTTATTTGGATGAGAATAAACATTACCATAACATCAAAATCAAGTTTTAAGAATAAAAACACTTTGTGGTAATGATTCTAATCCAAAACAGGTCAAAAACAATTTTTTTTTCACTGAACAGTCACCACCTCGTGGTAAAATGACAGATTCCAAAAAAAAAAAAAGAAAAAAATAACGATTTTTCTTGCAAATTACATCAAGTATACACAAACAATCCTAGGCTCTGATACCACTGATGGGTTTTGAGAATTCTAACACGTCCTAAGTGTACATGTAACCCTAATAACCTTGAATCTATGTTTTCTCTATATACATGCAAATTTCTTTTTCAAGGTTATTTCCTAACTAGCATGGCATGGGGATTACGTAAAACATAAAAACTAGTAGAAATACATACCTTGTTGTTTCTTGGATTCCTTCAAGACTTTGTGAGCGTAGCACCCCAAATGTTGTGCCTCAAATGCTTCACACAACACCACAAAACTTGGAATAACTTGAGAGAATACTTCTTACACTTGAAAATCGGTTATGCCCTCTCTAGAAACACTCTAGTGCCGATTTTGCATGCTATAGGGTTTCTTTTATAGTGTGTCATAATTAGGAGTTACAAATGTAAACCCTAATTGTCATGACTCTTCATTTCTCATGACCCATGGGTTTGTAACTCCCATGGACTATCCATGGAAGTCCATATGGTTATAACCAAACCCATAAACCATGGATCATTAATCCACCATAAAAGAATTGATGATTGTCATAATCAACCCTATATATTTAATTAGTCTCACATTGATCACCAAATTAATACTAGATTAATACTTGATCAATACTAATTAAATAATACTATTATTAATATATTAGAACTTATAATATATTAATAATCATAAGGGCCTTATTCTCTCATCTAGTCTATCCAAGTATTGCAATGCCATGCAACCCAAATGGACCATGCCGGGTCGGGTCAAGTACATACCAAATAAAGTTATGGACTTAGACACTATATCCAACAGGCTTCACAGTATTTACCACCTTGAACAACCGAGGATGATAGCAAGAAGTGTCTGCCGAAATTGAATATATCATCTCAGCATATCGGTAAACATCTTCTTGTCGGCTGCTGTGTTCTGATTTCACCTCTGAATAATCTCCAAAATGTGCTCCAAGCAAGCAGTTGAGAGGAGGTGTTTGTCAACAAGAGCGAACAGGCATTTCTAACCTTCGCCTCTGATGAACATCACAGTGTGGTACTTCAAATCAATCTTCCCTTTAACCATCAGGTTAACACTGCCAGCTCTTCCCATTGGTTTTATTGTTGTTCACTGGTGAATTGCTGAAGCGATTTCTTTGTCCATTTTTGCCACTTCGTGAATCTAGCAGACAAGCATTCACTTGACATGGTCAATGATTGGATGATACTCCTGAGGATTTGACAGAAAGATGTTGTTGAGGAGTATCCAGTCGTGAGGATTGAGGTTCGGTAGATCAGCAAGAGTGAAGTTGTGAACAGAGCCTTCAGATCCTCGAGTCACTTTGAATTTCACATTAACAAACTTCCCTGTTATATAGGGCTTCAGTACCTTGACAGTTGTGATTTTCTGCGAACTCCATGTCAAGTACTGAGGCTTAGCAAACTCTAGATAGAATTCCAATAGATCCTGATCCACCTTCGGGTCTAGAGATGGGATGGCAACAGTCGAGTTGAAGTAATGAAAGATGAACGCCTTTCGCGTGATCGACATGTCAAACTGTACACCCTTGGAGTTGCCAAGCCCGAACGACATCATAGGCTCAAGCCAAAGTGTACTTGGTTCATCGATAGCGCACCTTTGGAGCGAATCACGACTCGACTCAGGAAAAATGGACTTCTTATTTTCCAGCAGCTCCTTTTCCATTTGCTTTTGCTCAAGCTCAGCCGTGTGTTTCTTAAACTTTTCTTCAAGCTCTTTATCAGAAGATTTTGTTTTCTGAAAAGGCTTTTCAGGATCCTTTTCATAAACATCTTCTTCATTATCAGTGTCATCCTCCCTAATTTTCTTCTTCTTCTTGTCTCTATTATTGACCGAAGCTTCATTAACCTTCAGTTCAGCAGTTGGTTTCGGTTCAGGAGGAGGTTGAGTCTTCGTTACCTTCTCTCCCCTTTTTTCGGCTAGACACCAGTCACCGGAACACCCACGATACGATTAAGGATGTCCAATGCAGGTCGAAGTTTGTCAGCCAAATGCGTGCGGATGGTGATGGTGATGATGGGATCATGGGCTTCAAGGAGGTGAAGTAAAATGGAGTGAACATCGGTAATAGAGCTTCGTATAACCTCCCTATCAGACTTCAAGTCATTGAGTTCAGCTGTTGCAGTGCGAAGTTTGAGATTCTGCATCCTCAGCTGAGAGGTTCTTTTGTCGAGTTCATCCATGATGCGATTTTCAACAGCCAACTCTGCCTCCAATTGAGTCAATCGATCATTGACATTGTCGTGTAGAGTGGCATTGGCTGCTTCAATTGCTTGATGAGCAGCTTCAAGGTTGGACCGTTCAGCTTGAAGAGAACGCTGAAGGTTATCAACCGAAGCGTTCACAGTTAGAGAATTTTTCTGAGCTGCCGCCTGCAAAGAATCCAAAAATAAGTGAGCCTCATAAATTAGTTTATCGAATTTTGCGGTCGCTTCTTTGCACTCCTTGGTTGAAGCCTCAACTGCAAGAGAGGCTTTCTGGCATTGGGAAGTGGAGGCATCTATAGCCTTGGCTGCAACAGTAAGGGAGGCATTGTGTTCTTGGACTACGGAGGAGAACAAAGCCTTTAAAGCAGCATCAGAATAAGCCCCAAATGAAGAGGAGGAAAGCAGTTGATCGAGTTTGTCGTTGACTACTTTGAGATGATGCTTGGTGACAGGTTCATTGTCGTCTTCATCCCTTTGTACACGGTAAGGACTAAATAAGTGGAATCAAATTCCAAGTCCTCACCGCCTAGAACTGGGGTGGTGTCAGTGGATGGGGTAGGTGATAAGGGTTTGGTAGTGGTAGGAGGTTTGGTTGTTATTGGTGGTTCGGTTGTAACAGGTGGGGTGGGAGTTGTAGAATGAGCCCCTGTAGTATTGGTGGTAGTGGTAGTGTCTGTGAAGATTGGAGTAGAGATGGGAATAGTGGTTGATGGTTGAGATGTAGGGATAGGAAATATTGGAGGGATAGATACTGGGATGGTAACGGGTGGAGGAGAAGGAGGTTGGGAGCAAACTGGAATTTCTGGGGTAGGCGAGCGAGGCGGGGTATCACCACGAACCGAAGCCTCATCATCAGAGCTTTCGTTTTCAGATTCTGAAGAAGGAGAAGATTTGTGTCTGGGAGGAACATAGTCTAAGTCTAAATCGCTTGAATATTGGAGTATGAGTCTCTGAGCAGGCTTTTTCTACTTCTTTGGTTGAGGCTGTGATGGGGCAACCTTGTTAGACTTTCGCTTCTTAGGGGTTTGCTCCTTGGTTGGTTTAGTAACCTTCGTTTCCTTCTGAGTCTCAGTTTTCTTTCCCCTCTTTGCTGGCTTGTCAGCCTCTTCAATGGAGCGAACCATGGCTGGTGTGAGCTCCCTTGGACCCGAAGAAGGAATCTTCATGTATTGTTGCAGAACATTGCTTGTTGCAGACACACAGGCAAGCATGGTATCAAGAATGGATCCAATGAAGGAGTACTTGGTGGGATCCGTGACAATTATATTGGTTGTGTGAAAGGTGGCGATGGAGGAGAGAAGAGAATCCGCCATGATTGGAACGTGAAGACGATCCATTGCCTACTTAGTGATGATGGACCAGTACCTACCACACAAGATTTCTGAGTGTCTTGAGGAGGAATACAAGCTTTGGACCAATTGTTGCCAGATGATTGACCCATAGTCCAAATCTATCCTGTGATATAGACTGAAAAGCACAATCATAAATGACTTGCTTGCTCCATTTGTAATGACCATAAATTTTCAACAAATTTGAACTTTTCAAAAACAACCCATTTTCATAATGTTATTACAAAAAGGTTTTCAATACAATTATTATCAGAGTTTTCCCAGAACCATAACATAAAACATAAACACGAGGAGCGGTACGATCATGCCTTTTCCTTGCCACGGTCTCCTGAAGAACCTTAAAAATGTTAAACCACAACTGTAAGCCCGGAAGCTTAGTGAGATACCCCAAGATACCAACCACTTATACCATACACACATAACATGTTATATCATAACAAATCACAGAACAGCCATGCATATCGGGTCTACTGTGTGACTCGTCCACCGTATCGGGCCTTCAGTCCACCGGGTCCACCCTCCGAGTCTAGTCATGTCCCTCGAGTCTGCAGTGTGGTTGGTCCGCCCGCACCGGGCATTCAACCCACCTAGTCCACTCTCTGAGTCTATAGTATAACTGATCCGCCCACATCGGGCCTTCAGTCGGCCTCGTCCACTCTCCGAGCCTCGGCACATCTAGTCCACCCTCGTGGGGCCTACAGCCTATCCAGACCGCTCGCTGGGCCTTCGAAATAACCAGTCCACCCTGGGTATGTTGGCCTACAGCACAAAGCAGGTCCTGCCTCAACCCAACCCCAGTCAAACAACCATGTGCACATAAACATACAATCATATAACAATTCACATTCAATCAAACCGATCTAGCAGATCACGTAACGCAACATACTCTAAGCAGGATACCGACCTAACCGGTTACTAGCATAGCATCACCCTATATCCCAGGATATTGACCTTAACCAGGTCTCTAACATATAACATCCTAACTACCCGGATGCAAAAATAGTAAAACAACAACATAACAACAATACCTGGATTACAATTTGATAAAGGGCCGGCCTTGGTGCCTTAGACCCTGTTGATACAGTGAGGATAACTCACCTCGCGATTGCCGAAACTCCGAACTGAAGAAGCCTATTCCTGAATCACCGACTCACGGAAAATCCTGAACTAGCCATCATAGCAAAAATAATCATTAGGCCAAACTTAATATCCATCCAAGGGTAAATGGACCAATTTACCCTTAAATCAATCTCATCCATAACTAAGGCCCGCAATCAAATATGAAAGGCTCATTACGAGATAAGCTCTCAAGCCCACTAATGGCCCAAAAACCAAAGTTCGATGCAAAGGCCCAATATTGGCCCAATTTACTAAATTGGGCCCACCTCACCAAATGGGCCTAGATCCAAGGTCCAAAATAATCATTAGGCCCAAAGTATTTTATCCATAATGTCCAGACATGGCCCATCAATCCAGCAGCCCAATAACAACCCAAACTCTAAGGCCCAAAATGAAAATCCAACAGAGGGGTACGTTGGGCGTACTCTCCTTGGTACGTTGGGCGTACAACAATGTTCGCAATATGGGATCAGGACACTGGCCCGTTACGCTGGGCGTACTCACAGGTTACGCAGGGCGTAACCTCATTGCTCAACAACATCACATAACGACTTAATGGTTTAAGCTCCTAAGCCCAAACTTCAGATCCTTAGGCCAAATATGATTAGAATTCATAAAGTCTCAAACTTTATCACTTGGGACATCCATAAAGCTCTTAATCCAAAGTCTTAATCCATTAAGACCTACTTATCTCACACATGGAACAACCACAGCCCTTGGGAGCTCATTTTTCTCACTCACGACCCCTCCTAAGGGCTGAAAGGACGAATAATCTTGACCAACTCGAAACATGTAACAAGATGAGGACTTTTAGGACAAGAATGATGTCAAAGCTTCACAATACATAGATCTACCCAATATGAATGTCAAGCAAGAAGCTTTATACCTCAATTAGGCTCCAAAGGATGATATCTTTCCAGATCTATAAGCTCCAATCGTTCCTCTCCTTCTTTGGCAACTTCTCCTTTCTTCTTCTAGCTTCTCTTTTGCCAAAATAAGCTTTCCAAGACTAAACACACCCAACAATAGAGGAAATGCGGATATCTAGGGTTTATGGGGGTAAAAGAGTGTCTTGGAGGCTTAGGAGGGAACCATTATGTTCCTTATGTAGTGGTTACCCTTAAAATTGATGGGTTTTGGCCATAAGACATCCTATGTTCTCATACAAACCCTAATGCTTGGATCTAGGTTTCTCTATTGTACATGCTTTGAATCCAAGACTATAAACCCTAATTCTAGCATGTAAGTAATCATATTAACATGTAATTAGGTTTAGAACATACCTTGATTGTTATGTAGCAATAACAATCCCAATTCCTCCTTGAATTTGCTTTGGAAGGCTTAGAGTCACAAGTGTCACTCCTCTAATGGCTCACAAACACCATAAGCAAGTAGAGAAGGTATAAAGAGAGAGGTGAGAGATTAGAATTCATATCTAGGACCTCTTGGGAAGGGATACACGAATTCATGACCCTAGGGGTGTTTATATAGGTGTAGAGATAGGGTTCCAGTCATTATCCTTATCTAGTTGATTATCCGTTAAGCAACCAATAAGATAATCCTTGAATCCTTATCATACTCGAATTCTAAGGCTTTCCAACCTTTAATTCGTCCACCATATAAATAAGATAATCCTTACCTTATTTTGTAACTATCACATAATTACAAATCAGCCCCTCTAGTTTAATTAATTACATTTGATCACAAAACTAATTCTTAATTAATTATTGACCAATATTAATTAAACAAATATGATTTCTCCTTTAATATATTATTCCCTATAACATATTAATAAATCATATTATCCTTTCTCTCTTTATTCATTTCTCCAATCAAGTTGCTTTGGTGAAGGCAACCCAAAAGGATCATGCACCATCGGGTCAAGTACATACCAAAATAGTTATGGACTTAGACACTAATCCAACAGTCTCCCACTTGGATAAGTTTTAACAACTATTCTGCGTATGACTTCAGATCCTGATCTGCAATCGTAGCTTTCCAAAGCCGATGTCAACTCTGATCATATCAGATACGCGTGTCCTTAGATAAGGGATCATATATTCCTCCATTCTAGATATCGTATGAGATATGATTTCAAATCATTCTCTTTGTACTATATCTCGATTTCCGATTTATGACGACAGACTAATTGAACAAATCAAATTAGCCCTAGCCCGACCGAGCATTTACGTATGTCATCACTAAACCATCGAGGGGCCCAAAAATATCGCTTTTATCCTACTTTGGATAAGAGGAACGGATAAACTTTGATACAATGCTCGCTTGCACTCACTAACCAAATCACACACAACAATATGTTTTATAACACCAATTTACTAGTGCGTTTACATATTATCAATGTGCAATCGATTAGCAAGATACAACTCACACATCTCGGTTTCAAGAATATAAGATGTTATCGTCTCACTAATCACTCGAATACAATTCATGGAGTGATCCAAGTGAGCGTGGGTTTAATCCAATGCTCAAATCATATTCATAAGCACTCATGAACGTTGCAGCAAACATTTGCTTATGTCTAATACTTTTCTAGACAATCCACACACCAATTCATGACAGTCTTCATTCATATCTACTTCCAACATATGAACGACTGTGGCCCGTCTGAATAATTCGATTATTCTTAATAAACTCAATTATTCTGGAAGTCAAAACATGCAAGGTGAAACACAAGAATAATACTAATCCCATATGGCCTCAAACCTTTGAGTATAAACAAAACACATTTTATTTATCACCATATCGATTACTCATTATTTGTCGTTTCGGGTAATCAACTTCGTACTTGAATTCCAACACTTGTCCCATGCTCCTAGCATGCACACAATGTTTACCTATGGTTCTTACTTTTGTGAAATAGACAAATTGAACACATTTCCAATCATTCTCATTTTACAACTCCAAATCCATTTTCTTAAGTGTAAGAATATCAAATTCTTGTTACTTATAGAATATACTAGATTCTAACACTTTATGCAACGATCCTTTTGTAATGTCACTGCACCAAAGTCTCAAAGACTATTGCCAATGATATTACAAAGTCCTCTATCGGAGATTGTTACAAGACAATTCCTTAGATATGATGTCTCTCACTCAAAGTACATTCGTTTGAACATCCTTTTGCATGAAGGTTTCTAATCTAGTCATAGATTTTCAATATTTACTTCCCAATATGGACACGCTTCCATATTTTCCAACTAGAATCTTATCTATTCGTAATGATGTCGATATTGTCCATCCAATATGGAAACATTTCCATAATTTCCAATACTATACTTTCAACTACTCACAAGCGACCAATCCTCGTCGAACTTTGGATTGTTCTTTGACAGTTGTTTAATTATTTTAGTCAAAACCGATTCTAGCCCCTTTTCCCTCTAAATGCGCTAGACATTTGGAAAATTTTAGAATGGTCAAACATTAAAGCATTTGCAATCGATCCTATACTCGAAGCGTATGGGACATGATGCACAATGTTTTATTTGCTATGTTCTCAAAATTCGAATTGTGAAGAGGAATGCCGTAATCATAATCGAAACTTTAAGAACACACTATGTACCTTTGACTAAATTTATCAACATTTCACAACCTAATCCTTTAGATTTGAAATGAAGCATAATATTCTCTCCCTTAATTATAGCAAAACAACCTTTCAACTCTTACAACTTTGCAAAGTATGACTCTTGTTTTCTATAATTAATATTGCCAACTATGCAATACTTGCCTTAATAATCATACAATCATAACATTTATGCTCCCACTATCATGATGATTATTATAAAACATAACACTTATGCTCCCACTAGTTTCATATGTGTGTCTTA